ATACCGTAGCAAAGCACGGGTATCAAGCTTGTCATGTATAAAGAATCCTCAAAAATCTTTATTTTCAAAAGGAGTTATATGAGTGTTAGTATATCCCTGAAACATAAACTGAACTATCCCTTTTGTGATATCACTATTGTGCAATCTTTGGATCTAGGCCAATGAGAAGGTCCTGCTCTGATCTTAATGGACTGCATTTCTTGGTGTTTTTCTGTACTACTTGTTCCTTTAGACTGGCAAGGTTTCAGAACAGAGTTACAGAACTTACCCCATAACCATCCCTGGCTATAGTGACAGATTGAAAAGCCATTATCTTCTTTGTTACTAAGCCTAAAAATGTATGAATGCAACTATCAAGTGAAATCTAAGTATTGCTGATGTATATTGTTAAAGTGCAAATCTTCTGATGTTAGTATTATATGTAATATGCTTTATCTTCAAGACATTCAAGTTAATGTTATAGCTACAGATAATGCAGGCCTAGAAGACAAACTCCAAGAGCTAGATCAAGAAGTCTACGATCTAAAACACACCACAGGCAAAAAAAGTATGTATGTCTCACTTCATTTTTTAAACTACATTCTTCTCCATTAGAATTCCTACAACAAATGTCACATTTCAAATTTCACATCATCAGTATTATAACTGGATTTACAGAACTTAAATACCGTAGCAAAGCACGGGTATCAGGCTTGTCATGTATAAAGAATCCTCAAAAATCTTTATTTTCAAAAGGAGTTATATGAGTGTTAGTATATCCCTGAAACATAAACTGAACTATCCCTTTTGTGATATCACTATTGTGCAATCTTTGGATCTAGGCCAATGAGAAGGTCCTGCTCTGATCTTAATGGACTGCATTTCTTGGTGTTTTTCTGTACTACTTGTTCCTTTAGACTGGCAAGGTTTCAGAACATAGTTACAGAACTTACCCCATAACCATCCCTGGCTATAGTGACAGACTGAAAAGCCATTATCTTCTTTGTTACTAAGCCTAAAAATGTATGAGTTACATGGGATAATTATGGAATTGTGATGAGAAAATGATTTACATATGAAAGAGCAACTAAAGTTACCACATGGCACAAGCTATCATTGTTCACATTGTGAACCTGAGCAACCAGATTCACATTTGGTAACAGGAGGGCTGATTCTAGATCATGAAGTCTGGATTGTATGTGTTATGTGCTGTCAAGAAACTTCTGACTTGTGGTGACCCGATGAATTTACGACTTCCAAAATGTCCTATCATTAACAACCTTGCTCAGGTTTTGCAAACTGTAGGCTGTGGCTTCCTTGATTGAGTCAATCCATCTCATGTGAGTCTTCCTCTTTTCCTCCTGCCTTCAACATTTCCTAGCATTATTGTCTTTCCCAGTGACTCTTGTCTTCTCATAATGTGACCAAAGTACAGTAACCTCAGTTTAGTCATTTTAGCTTCTTGGGAGAGTTCAGGCTTGATTTGATCTAAAACTCACTTATCTGTTTTTTGACGGTCCATGGTATCTGTAGAACTCTCCGCCAACATCACATTTCAGATGAATCAACTTTCTTCCTGTTTTCTTCATGGTGCAACTTTTACACCCATACATAGTAATGGGGAATACTATAGCATGAATGATCTTGGTTTGGATTGTGGGAATTGAATAATTAACAAAACAATATGGAGTGGGCAGTGTAAAAATTTTAAGTAATATTTGTCAGATTGCAACACCTCTATCACAAAAGGCTAAATCACATGGCTATTTACGTACATACAGGCCTATGTTTTGACAAGATATGGGGAATTTTTGGGCTACAAGTCAGTTCCTGTCACTGGTCCTTTCAGCTCTGCCTGCCCCGTAGTAATTTGCAGTATGCTCCTTTTGATCTTAGGTTTGCCCTAGTCTTCTACATTATCATTGCCAAAACAACCTTTTAGTTCTACTGAAACAGTCCTTGGCTTGGAAGTGCCTGACCTCTAGATGTCCTTGGACTGCAAATATCTAAAAATACTCATTTTCCTTTCCTTCTGCATTATATCCAAGTATGTGTGTATGTTAGTTAAAGGATAAAGGCACACTGTTGTATATTTTCGGCAATGAAATGTGTTTTGTCACCAGAATCTGTCATCTCATGATAAATGTCCTTCAAATACAAACAGCTTTAATCTTTATAATGCACTGTCTGTCGCGCTATGTCATATGGTGTTGCCTGTAGAACTGAAGGCATCTCCCTGCTGACGGAACTGAAGATCATTTTTTTTCTTTTACATTTTTCTCACTTATTTGTTACTGTAAAATTACCTTTCCATTTATTGAGTCTTCCTTCTCCATTTATTTTCCTTCTCACATTCTTGCATATGCCACAATACATCTGTTCATATCTAAGGTGCCACAAGACTCATCATTTTCACTGCAACAGACTAACATGGCTAACCTTCTGGAAGGGGGGGGGAGGATCAGCTGCCTCTGCAACCTTCTTTTAATTTTCTAGCTCATGTCTGAGTCCTCTGCTGAGCTGCTTTCCACGCCTGAAACAGCCTCCCACTAACATCTGCTAGTCTCACTTTCTCAGGTCTTTCTGAAGAGCCTTACTTTATCTAAACTGGTCTTCTGGTTAGGCTTCCCATACTATAGTCTCATTTTTTTTACAATTGTTTAATGCTTGGTGCTACTTTATCCAGTCCAGAGGAGTAGTTGTGTTAGTCTGTTGCAGCAAAATTACACTTAAGACTTAACAAAATGTATTTCATTATGAGTTTTCATGAGTCAGAGCTCACTCTCTTATACACACAGAAGTGTACATCCATTGGCTTAGTTAAATATGTGGCAGGAAGGCGGGGGATATTACCAAAAGAGGTTGGTGCAAAACAAAAGCCAAGCAAAAAAGATAGCAGCTTCCTTTGAGTATGTGTGAGACACTTCTATTGAACAACCTATCCAGTCTGGATAACTTAGAAAATAAGTCCTCCATAACTGTAATTTTTTGTCATTAAATGCAGTGTCAGTGGTAGCAAAAAAATAAAAACCTGGAAGTTTTAACTGAGGGTAGATTCCCATTATTTTGCATGATTAAGTTTAGTAAGGAAAAGTCCCTTCTCCATTGTACTGCCAGGAAAAAAAGATACTGCCATAGGTCCGTTACTCATCAGTGCTTCCCTGTTCCTGTTGGCAATCAGAGGTCAGCCCTATGCAGGCACAAAATATTCCAGTGTATCATAATTTACATGAGTTCTGCATGTCGGCATTGAAGAATGAATGATGAAAGCCAAGCAAAATATTGCATGTGTTTGTAAAGCCTTTCTAGTCAGCTGTGGACTGTCCTTTGCACATATGCTTGGGAGTAGTGAAACAGTTCTAAGTAAAATAGACATCAGATTGGGCTGTAATTTAGTGGCTGACCAGTCAGGTATTTAATATTAATGTGTTTTATTGTTTGTAAACCCTGGTTTTCAGCCATGGTTTGCTTCCCAGATGACTTATAATTAACATTCAGTGCAAAGATACGGTATACTATGGACTCATGGGTATGTGGATGGCACCCCTTTTTAGCTTCTGTCTGTTAATGGCATGGTCCAGATTCTAGGCTTTTCCTTCCAGGGGAGGGGGGACAGCAGAAAATGAACTCAGGAAATTTCTGGCTCATAAGGAGGCCAACACATAGAAGGAACCCTACTGTTGATCTACAGATACATTAATAATTGCTGATTGTTGAACTTTACAGTGTATATTTTAATGTGAGTATTTTTTGTTGCAGCTGTGTCTTACTGTTTCCTGAGAGCCAGTATGAAAGCCACTGTTGAGTCAGGATAGTACTTCAGCGGGAGGTTGGGGTAGAAATCCAATAAATAAATATAAATAAATAAATTTTAAAAAAATTGTATGGCTAGATTAGATAAAGTGTGGTAGGCAGACATATTCAACAAATAAGTTTGCTATCCATTGTAGTCTTTGTGTGTGAGTTAGACTGGATCAAAATAATTGTAAGAGGAGTCCTGTTGTGAAATGCAGTTTTCCTTTCTCCTCTCTCTAGCCTGCTGCACCTTCCTTGTGAGGGCCAGGGAATTCTTGGCAGTTATGTGGAGCTTTGCAGCTGGCAAGGAGAATTGATGCAGAGGCACACTGCCCTTGTGGAAGGGCTTTCTGCTTGTGGAAATAGCCCTTTGGATCCATAATGAAAAAAGACTAAAGGCTAACAAGGAGAAAGGAAGTTGAATATTGGCTTGGATTGCTTTGCTAACACAATTAAGATTATTAGCTGTAATTATACAGTTTTCCTAGCAATTTTTATTTTGCACATGGTGTTGAATTGTAAGTTTCCAAAGCTTGAACTATATATTCATAGAAGATTGAAATACTAAATATTATACTGGGAAACAATCCTTTTAAGAGTAACTCATGCCTCTCTTCCAGGTGACCAGACTTTAAGAATTTGGGATGCTAAAGCGCCAAGGGTCCCAGTAGTAATTCCAGCTCACCAGGCTGAGATTTTAAGTTGTGACTGGTGCAAGTATGATCAGGTACAGTAGCCAGAAACTGTGTAGTTGTAGACTCTAGGGACATTGCCTTTTTGTGAGTGAAACTGTTTTGTAACTAGTATGCTGTTAATAATTTTGGAAATGTCCTACTATCATGAAAATGTTTTGGTACATTTTACTGGCATAGACTTAAGCACATGGTTAATTGTTCCATACATCAATAAGATTTTAAACACTTTGTCTAGGTCCTTACTCTCAAAAATAACTCAAAAATTAGAGGTGTGCACAAAAGAAATCAGTGTAACGAACCCGAAAAATATTGTTATTTCCCGATATTCCCAAATCGCAATATATCGGGATCCAAAAAATAATCAGGCTTGCTGAATTTTTTGGCTCAGCATTTAACGGGGCCGTCTCTTTAAATGGATTTTGCAAGCCATGGCACGACTGAACCCAGAAAGTTCACCCTTCTGGGTTCACTCGTGCCATGGCTTCTAAAACACATTTAAAGGGACTGTCCCTCTAAGTTGTGTGCAGATTGACTTGAGGGGGAAGATCCTAGGCTCAGTCCAATGTGCAAAAGGGGAGGGTGTTGAACAGCCCCTCTGCAAGCTAGAGGTATCAAACTGGCAACACAGCTCCCTGGGGTGCCCCTCTACCTGCACTCCAAATTGTGTGCAGATTGGTTTGTGGGGGAGGTCCTAGACTCATGGTGAAAAAAGGGAGGGAGTATGCTAGAGGCATCAAACTGGTAGCAGACTTCCGTGGGATGCCCCTCTATCTATCTTATTCCCAAATTGTGTGCACATTGGCTTGGGGGGGAAGATCCTCGGCTCAGTCCAATGTGCAAAAGGGGAGGGTGTTGAACAGCCCCCCTGCAAGCTAGAGGTATCAAACTGACAACACAGCTCCCTGGGGTGCCCCTCTACCTGCACTCCAAATTTTGTGCAGATTGGCTTGTGGCGGAGGTCCTAGACTCATGGTGAAAAAGGGGAGGGAGGATGCCAAACCCCCCCCCCCCAACAAGCTAGAGGCATCAAACTGGTAGCAGACCTCCGTGGGATGCCCCTCTATCTGCCCTCCAAATTGTGTGCACATTGGCTTGGGGGGGGGGAGATCCTAGGGTCCAATGTGCAAAGGGGAGCAATGTGTCAAATGTCCCCCTGCAAGCTAGAGGCATCAAACTGGCAGTGGACCTTCCCAGGGTGCCCCTTTTCTTGCCCTCCAAGTTGTCTGGAGATTGCCTGAGGAGGTCACATACTCTCCCACACTTCTGTCATTTTGCAGAATGTGCAAACAGCAATGTTCCAGAGGGCATTTTTAAAAAAGACTAAAACTATAGTAGAAAAAATACTACAGTGTTTTAGATACTGGAGATCCCGTGCCAAAGATCAGGATGATAACTTTAAGTCAGTATGCCTACTTGGCCTCCCTTCATTAAATCCTTCCTCTGGGACTTCCTTCCCTTAAGCTGGATATGTGTAATTCTACATGTGCGCACTCTTCACATTTGATAGAACTGTACCTAATTTTTCTATTCTATTATAAAATTCCTATTCTATTATAAAAATTGCCATTCTCAAGAACCATATAATGCCCTCTTCAAGAACTATTCCCTCGAGAACCGTGTGTGTGTTGGGGTTAGAGCCCTCAATCCATACAAGCAAGGATCATGGGTGTTTCTGGGCCCTGCGGGACCTCTCTCAGTTCCGCAGGGCTGCAAGACAGAGCTCTTCCGTCAGGCCTTTGAGTAGGAGCCGCCACCACCACTATTCCACCTTTGCCCCCTATGCTCTGGCGTATTAAGATCATGACTGCCTGGCCCCCCAGGGGGGGAGCGAGGCGCCAGGGCACGGCTTAGATGATAAGATCTTAGGAAGTAGTTATGGAAGTTAAGATCTACCCATCTTGTCTAAATCTGTTTGTAAATTTGTTATTGTATTTTATTGTATTTTAAACTATGTGTTTACTGTTTTAACCTCGGCACATGGTGCCCTTGTTAGCCGCCCTGAGCCTTCGGGGTAGGGTGGGATTTAAATATAAATAAATAAAATAAATGTCCCTCTTGCCAGCTGTCCTTTCCAACCTAGGGAAGTTTATTCCCAGGGTTTTGGATCCCCTGTGGAAGAATAAACACATGGGTTGGGAGGACGTACTGGGAGGGGGGAAGATGGTGAAATTGCATCCTTCTTCCTCTTCCATCAGCAGAACTGCACGGGTGGAACAGGTAGAAAGGGCGATTTCATCCCATCCCCACTGCCATCTCTTGACCCATATGGCCCTTAGTCTTTGCAAGTTCCTCATAGGTCCTGGCTGATCTATTATTGTGACTAGTAAAGAAAGGTAGGAAGGAAAAAAACTTTCTTGAGGTCTGAAAGAACTGCTAGAGAGAGGGGGGGGAGTAGGAAAGATCTGCGACTGTCTGCATCTTCTGCTGTAAGATCGTGGGATCCAACCATGGTTATTGACACCAGATTGGTATTGATATCTCTCTCTTAGTTATTATTCCTAAATGTTGCATTTGGATCTTAGCTTTTTATTTAGTATGAACTAATTTTTTTTTACCAGAACTTGCTGGTAACAGGTGCTGTTGACTGCAGTTTGAAAGGTTGGGATTTGAGAAATATCCGGCAACCAGTATTCAATCTCTTTGGCCATACTTATGCTGTAAGAAGAGTAAAGGTAAGCTTTTTAAAATGTTCTACTCCTTTGATTACAGTGTACTGTTTATCAGTAATGCAGAGCACCTACACAATGAAGTAAATAACAGCAATCAAATTGTTGTTGTTGTTATTATAGTTAGGGATTGCCCAATCCCTGCTGGTGCAGGGCTCTGGGTGATACAATCATAATAAAACATCAAACACACAATAAAATATTTAAGTAACATTAAAACAATGATCTAAAAGATTCAGATGGCGAGTTCCAGTTATTTCTAGTTTCATACTGCTGACCACTTCTTGGGTGGGGGAGGAAGGATAGGGGGGAGAGTCCAGAGAACAGAAGTAACGAAACCACAGATAATGTGGAAACCATTCTTGGTGACCTCCAGTTCCACATATCCAAGGTTTGGACTCACATGTCTTGAACAGCAGTGCTGTCATAACACTTTTGGAACTGAGGGACTTGGTAAGACGTTTTGTGAGATGACATTGGGATCTGACATTCAAAGAGAAAATAAAATAAAAACAAAAATTCTGCAGCACATAAGTGTTCCTTAACTAGCTCTCTGGATTCTGGTTAGTATATTGTTTGGATAAGTCACCGGAGAAATCAAATATTTTAAACATGCATGTTTTTTAAAGCCCCAATTTACTTATCTTCATTGCATGGATGAAGTGAACTTCTTTATATTTCTCTTGGTATTTTCAGAAAGGATGCTGAGGTGGCTACTATGATGAAATGCAGGTCTTGTTTCAGATGGCTGATGGATGCTCTAGTTGCTTGAGCGCTTAAAAGGGGGGTGTTACTCAAGACTACATTGTTAGGGGGAGTTCTTTGTCACCATTAATATATTTGAAAACATTAATTTAAAATTTTACTCTTTGGGAACCAGACATAAGGTTAACAAGAGCTTGGCTCCTGGTTCTTATCTTTGATGCAGCCTTTCAGAAGGCTTCATCTCTGCTATCTGTGCCAAGGGCTATAGTACTCTATCTACTCTCTGTTTTAGGGCAAATTATGAGAGACTGTTGTACAGTTGCCAGTTTGCAGACTTGAATCAAGTTATCTTAATGGCAGCATTTTTTCAAAATATGAGAGTCTGAAGTGAAATGGCTGTAATCTTTAAAAGAGTTCCCTGGGGTTAAACCCCATTGAATAGACCTCCTTAGGATTGCTCCCAATGTTGCCTTAGTACTATGAGTATAGAATAGTCTCTCTCTCTCTCTCTCTTATATGAAATGATACAAGTTTAGAAGCATCTAACCACATGATCAGTTTTCTAACTTTTCTACAGATTCTGGTTATGCTGCAAATTGGTTTTGCGCTGAAACTGACCTGGATTCCCAGCTTTCATTTTAAAATATAGCAAGTTGCTAAGTCCAGAAAGTGCTATGGCAGTATTCTGTTCAGTTGTTTTAATGAAGAACAAATTCATTCCCACCTTCCTAGCCAATGAGTAAAGTCTGAGCAATGATACACATACACATGCTTGCTGTATCTTTCCCCAAAAACCTGTGCTGTTGTCTAAGAAAAGAGCAGGCAAATTCTGCAGTGGGTGTAAGAAGATGCTTCCTCTGGTTCTTCCCAAGCTTTTTGTACTAGTTATCAGGAGCATTAATCAGGCAGTTGGTAGGATTTGTAACAGTTAATGTGCTTATGGCAACTCTGCCTTCGATGATTGTCATGTAAGGGATTTAAAAGCTACTCAAAATCTTAATTTATGACAGGGCTATATTATGAAATAGATACTGTCATCTTCATGGTAGACCTCATAGTGAGTAACATTACACCAGGTTTTGAATTTTGCTGTCTTTGATAATGTTACGTTACAGAACTCCATTCATAGTAAACTTCTATGCATCTTTTATATTTCATACTGATAACAGTTTTGATGTTCCCCCCCCCCTCTCTTTTCAGTTTTCACCATTTCACGCCACTGTATTGGTATCCTGTTCCTATGATTTTACTGTGAGGTATGGTAATATTCTTAGAAAATGTCCCACACATAATTCTGCCTTGTTCTGCCTACTGAATCTTGATTTCAGTCCCTGGACAGAAATGCTAAGTCTTTGGCCTTGCAAGGCTGTTGCAGCAGAAGACATCTCTGTTACTGATTTTTTAAAAGGTTTTAAGAGAAAGAAAGGTTCTGCCTCTATTTACTTGATTTTTGTTACAGAAACTGCAATTGTTAAGTGTGGGGCAGTTTGCTTCCCTAGCAACATGATAGAGAATTTTTAGTAATTTGATATTGTTTTGTATTTAACTGGCAGTTTTATTCTTATCTTTGTATCCTTGTATTTGGATCCATAAAGAACATGTCATGTGAAGATAATGTAACTGGAAAGGGCATGTGCAAATAGAAATATGATTATAATCAACATGCACAGGCACCTGAAGATTCCATAGAAGAAGTGTTAAATTGGCACTTTTTGATTAATAATAGTAAAAGGTCGCTTCTAGGTGTAGGCTTTTGTGCCTGAACTGGTAGCATATTCATCTTCCAAGGCCCTGCATCAGGTGCCCCTGCCTTGTCAGTTCTGCTACCGAAACTCTGGAACTCTCTCCCCAGAGAGACCCGCTTGTTCCCTTCTGTTGATGTCTTCTGCCAGCAGCCCGAAGACTTTCTTGTTTTGTCTGGCATTTCCTCAGGGATCTCTCCCTCCTGCTGCAGGTTTTAATTGCTGCTTTTACGTATGTGTATTTTATTGTACTATATATGCTTTTTAGCTTGATTTTAAGTGTTTAATTATGTGTTTTATTTGGCTTTAATGTTTTTAAGATGCGTTTTTACTATTTATGTTTTTAATCTGTTAGCTGCCTTGGTGGTTCTTGATCAGGGCAGAAAGGTGAAGTATAAATTTTGTAAATAATAGTACTGAATCAAGATCCTGACACCTTTAATTCACACCCAGGTTATGCCAGTGACTCTGATGGTTGCTAGGTTGCTAGATCTTGATGGTTGCTGCTAGGTTGCTAGATCAGCATAGTTAACACAGAAACTATGGAGTAAAAAACATTCTACCTGGTGCTTCTTTTGGGAGGTACATCTCCTTCACGCCACCCCTCAATTTCCAGTGCAGTGTTACTGTTCCCATAACTGCCATCTGGAAGCACACATCCTAATTTTCTCAAACAGCAGATGATGTCCTAAATGCGTGTTTAAACGGTACTTCTTTGGATTACAAATAGAGGCAAACAGACCCACACGTGCCCTACAAGTAGAAAATGACAGGAAGAGGGCTAGGCTAGAACGTTTTCCCCTGACATTTAGCCTGCATTCAAATGTGCAGTCCTCTAACCTTGGTCTAAACATACCTTTGAAAGATGGAAACTAGGACAGGCATATCATTCTTGAAGTTGCAATATTTGCATTCATGCAGTACCTTAAATAATTGTCTTGGGCTTCTTCCCATTGTTAGCAACATGAGCACACCATGGAGTTCCTAGCATCGTGGAGCCTCCTTAAAAAGGCTTGCTGTAAAATGGCCAAAAAGAACAAGAGTGCTTCTTCCTTGTGTCCAGATTATTTATAATCTCTTCTCTGACCCTTCCCCCTTGAGTTTCTTCCTTCTCTTCCTTTTGGGTTTCCTCCTTCTCTGTCCCCTAGGTTTGACACTTTGGTCTTAGGTGTGAGCTGTCTGTTGTCCTTCTGCCAGCTAGGGCCATTTATGTTTGTAAGACACTGAATTGTTCTGTGCCTTTGAGATCATGTAAAGAGTGCAGTCCTGATTACTATAATTGTGGTGTCAGTTTTAGGATGTAGGACATTTCTCCACAAGGTTTAAGGGATTATATACATTTGTTGTCCTTGTTCTAAATTGGACACACAAAGACTTGCTTCTTAGAGTTGCAATTTTGGCATTTCCAAGTGCTGGTTATTAATATGTGGATTTTTCTGTTTAAAGATTGACTCAGTTGGAGACTTTATTGGCTATCTGCCATGACAGATGCTCTTGATAAAATAGCTTTTCAGCTAACCAGCATCTTGCACAATGTGATGCCTTTTTCATAAGTGGAACATTCCACAAATAACTTATTTGCCAGTCTTTTAATATCATCATACCATTATTTGTAATAGATACTTTAATCTGTTTTCTCTCGCTATATAGTTGTATGTCTTCAGGGATTTTTTTAGTATTAAGCCCATGAAGTCACAGGGTTTCTGTGTGGTGTAAGGGTTTCCAATCTGATTTTGATACAGTACAGATTAGCTGTAGTGATACTTGAGAAATCATAATTTGGAGGGAGGATTAATGGCAGTGCTTTTAGTTCTCCAAATAATCAAGGCACATTTCCAAAAGTGAAAAGCTGCATCTTTGTTTCTCTAAACAGATTTAAATATCTACCATTGTAAAAGAAAAGAGAATAAATCTAGATCAGGACAAAACCGATAATAATGAATTTTGCATATTTCGCAGCCACAAATATTGTTTTGTTCAATATGCATGTACACATAGATAGGAAAACACTTCGGTTTTGAAGAACATTTTCTTATCCCAAAGTCTCTTAAGATGCTCTAGTAGTTATCTAGTAAGGGGGGGGGATACAGAAAAAGTTATATGGTTCACAAGTATCAGGTCAAGGATTTATATCTAACTCCAGTTAGTATTTGCGAACATATTCTGGCTGCAGTCTTCTGCATAACTTCTAATATAATCACTGGGACATACTTATGCATAAACAGAGGAAAGCCAGTGACAGAAAAAAAGTTAGTAGTGTTCGATTTAATGGATTTATATACATGCCATGGTTGTTGACAGTTTGTACAAAACAGAACTGCTGTTTTCCCCCCTCTTAAACAGGTGACGATCTCTAAGGAAATAACTCTGGGACATCACTAGTAGCTTTGCGTGTAGGGGCCAGAGAAGAGATGAGATTCAAGGATGTAAACCAGAGTTTAAGGATGTTTGAATGTAATTTCCCCCCCTGGTTATCTGTCCTTCATCGTGGCTATTTTATCCTTTATTTAGAACTTGTTTTGTGTTTACAAAATACCCTTTGCGCATCAAGTATACAGTGCCATAATGCATGAATTTTAGCATAGTTCAAATGTTATGCAATGGAAGGAAAATGCCAGATTGCAACTTCTTGCAGAATTTGGCAGATGGCAGAATCTAGAAGACTGCATAATGTTTCTACAAGAATGCTTCGGTAATACTATAATTACTATGCAGGCAATACTGAAGAAGTTTGGTTCCTTTAGAAGACAATGTGAAAAGCCATTTAATGCACAATAATGAGAAAATATAAACCATCTGCTTAGTTGTAACTTGTTTTTGAACAAAAATAATGTGAAAAGACACTATTATAGACACTTTTGCCAAAATGTTTTATTGCAAGAAATGACACAACAAATTTTTAGGACTTTTAGCCTCTGTGTGCAGTATAAATCAAAAAGTTAAATTAAGAATGTTATTTCAGAATCAGTTATTGTAAAACACTATTCACTGAGAGATCGTTTGCATTGCTGGGGGAAGTTGCATTTTCCAGTTGTCCTCTGACTGCTTTGATACTTCACTGATTTATCAGCCTTTACAACTTCTTTTATAAATGAAGTTGTACTAAGAAAGATGAAAATATTCACCCTCTTGAGCACTGCATGTATGTTTGATTTATATTTATTAGATTTGCATGTTTACCCTGCTTTTCAGTTCTAGGACCCTAAAAATTACTTACAATAAAACTAAAATATACATATTAAAAACTTTAAGACTCATAGCATTAAAGGCAGCAGCTATGAATCCAAAACCAACCAATTTTGTAGCCATTAAAGGCTTAGTGCAAAAGTATAGTTTTATAATCACTTAAAAGCAACAAGTAAGTGACCCTGTCAGTCTCATTGCAAAGTGCTAGCACCAGCACTGAAAAAGCTATATGCCAATCTAATTGCTGACAATGATAACATACAAATAATCAGCTCTGAAGCTGATCTCAATTTCTGTAGACCCTGTGTAGTCCATGAAAAGAATTTTTTCAGTCATCCAAAGTCTGTCTAGTGCTTCATTGGACTCTGACTGGTGTGCACAGAGATTAGGATTCAGCCTCCCTAAATGAAGCATCAAGTGGAATGAGCTTCAATCCTACCTCCTTTCCCCCTCTCTCCAGATCCTAGAGACAACTCTTCTACCCTCCCATTCCAGGGGCATTCCTCCTTCAACAGGAGGCTTATACATTTCTAAACATCAGATTACATCATTCCATAATATATCCTGCAATCTCCCCAGTCAGCAACCCACTGGGATGCTCTCCCCTGTCCATCCTCCAGTGTATTCCTAGGGTCCCTATGGATATGGGGGTGGGAAGCTATTCAGTGTCTCCCATCTAAGAGTGATTAACACATGGAATTCACTGCCACAGGAGGTGGCGGCGGCTACAAGCATGGACGGCTTCAAGAGGAAATTGGATAAACATATGGAGCAGAGGTCCATCAGTGGCTATTAGCCACAAGGTATAGATAGGAACTCTCAATCTGGGGCAAGTGATGCATTGTATTCTTGGTGCTTGGGGGGGGCAACAGTGGGAGGGCTTCTAGTGTCCTGGCCCCACTGATGGACCTCCTGATGGCACCTGGTATTTTTGGCCACAGTGTGACAGAGCGTTGGACTGGATAGGCCATCGGCCTGATCCAACATTGGCTTCTCTTATGTTCTTATCTTAAACCCAGCTAAAGACCTTTAAAACCCGACAGGATTTTGGGAGCTTCAGGGTGATAGCAGAAGTACTGAGAAAAGCAAAAAAGACAGTGAAAAGCTTAGCTCAATAGCAGTAACCTCTCTGTAGGAACCAACTTGTGGTGTCATAATCATGTCAGCTAGTAGGTGGTATTTTCAGTATCTCTGCAGAATTGCCACTGCTTCGTTTCATGTGTAACTTCAGTCAGCTTCATTTCATGTATAACTATAGCCAGGATTTCTTGTAACTGATAACTAACATGGAAATCTGAGATATGAGAAAATCTCTAGGACTCTATGCC